TTCAGGTAATCTGACAGGTTGACCTGAATTTTTCAGGTCAGGTTTAGCAATTGCAATTCAGCATCAGTTCAGGTTGTAACATCATTATAACCTGAATGACCTGTTGACCTGAAACTTTGATTTTATATAATAATTGAGTTATGGTATTATAATTCACTTTTTATATTGATTTTATATAATAAAAGTGAATTGCGATATTGGGATTCACTTTTTTATATTGATTTTATATATAAAAAGTGAATTGTGGTACCAGAATTCACTTTTTTATATTGATTTTATATATAAAAAGTGAATTGCGGTACCGGAATTCACTTTTTTATATCAATTTTATATATAAAAAGTTAGTTGCGGTATCAGAATTCACCTTTTTATATGATTTTAATATAAATAATCTGTACCACACCAAATTTTAATACTTTCTAAGTATTTACAACTGCTAAGTGTATTTTTTAGTACCTCTAGCTCACTATTTCTAAATATTATGAAAAGACTTTTAAGGTTTGGACAAAATTTAGCAATAGATGACCTTAAAGCTTTGTCACTGCCCCCCTATAATTATAAAACTTTTAAAAAACTGAATCACAATATTCAAAAAAATGTTTTGCCCCATTTTTTTTTGATATTTTAATATAAATCCTGAAAATTTTCAGGTTTCAGTTCAGGTCAGGTCAAACAGATAATCTGATATAACCTGACCTGACCTGATCTGAAAAAAAATTTCAGGTCAGGTTTATCAATTATTGCCGTTTTCAAAATTACTGACAAATTCTGATTTGCAAGGTTTGATATATGATTTTTTGTATAACAAAAGTAAATCACATTTTTACGCGAATTTTTAATTAGTGTTCCACACGAATCAAATTTCTTCTCTGAAATTCGATTTGATTTGGACTCGATTCGAACTTGATTCAACCTCCAAATATTATTATCTCAAGATCTAGTAATCCAATTTTGATGATCTTTTTTTAATCGATAAGTCTTGTTGTCCTGATCAAAATAAAAAAGATCATCAAAATCGGACCACTAGATCAAAAGTTATTCGCAAAATACATTTTTATTATTCAGGAGTGATCAAGGTCACACCGTGTCATGAATCGATTCGTGCGGAACACTATTTTTAATATTTTCATGTCAAATTTTTTTTGTGAATTATCAAATTCAAGATAAAATGAGTATCAGTGCAAAATTTCAGCATATATTTAATATAAAAATTTTGGACTTTTATTATGCAGATATCATTTATTACAGTTATTAACACCAAATACAGAATACGCTATATAGTTGGCATTATCAGGTGATCTTCATTTTAGTAGTGATATTTTTTATGATTGGTTGTTATGCTAACCATGTTATCCTAAAAAGGAAGGAGAAATTTACTAATTTGGTTAGTTTTTTTGCGCCAAGTACTGGGAGCATTTTATATTATATATTATATATATATATTGATATTGATATTGAGTTGATATTGAGTTGATATTGAGTTGATATTGATATTGAGTTGATATTGAGTTGATATTGAGTTGATATTGATATTGATATTGATATTGATATTGATATTGATATTGAGTTGATATTGCTTTAATATCATACGAATAGTGGTCATTTATATAGGAAAAAAAAAAAAAAAAAAAAATTTTTTTCGATCATGATCTACGGATTATACTTTGATAATCTGCAACAGCATATCGGAATAAAAAAAAAAAAAATATTTTTTTCATATTTTACTCCAACAATTTCGAAAACCAAATTTTTCATTTTTAACGAAACGTTACGTTAATTAATATTTCGTTTTTATTATTTTTGTAAGTTTCCAGTCTTCTCTACTACCATTTTGAAATTAAACTTCATTTTTTCTTTACTAACGTTCATTTTTATATTTTGTAGGTCCAGAACGCTGAAGGTACAAGTTCTGGCCTTCATTTCAAAGTTAGTAAACTTCGAAAAAAAAAAAAAAAAATTTTTTTTTAATGAACGTTACTGACGTTCGTTTTTAAATCCTGGACGCTGAAGCACAGCTCTGGATTTTTATTTTCGAAGGTAAAAAAGACTTAGAAATTTATTTTTTTATTTTTTTTCGTTTATTTAACGAAACGGTTTGTAGTAAAAATGCAAAAAAATTTCTTGATCAAATGAAGTACTCTTTTTTGTAGGTACTGGAAACCATTCTAGTCTTCAATTTTGAAGGTAAAAAAAACTTCGAAAAAATTGTAAAAAATGGTTTTTTTAATGAAACGTTTACTAATGTTTCGATTTTCTTTCTTTTTGTAGGTTCACGGTTTCCTGTTAAATTCTTAGATAGAATTTGAAGTTATCCTTTGTTCTTTTAATTTTTTTAGATAAGAAAGGGGAGAATTTCCGGTTTCATCAAGTCAAAAGCCGAACTTGAAGAACTTTCGGAGAACCAAGGTGTTTGGATATATGGAAAACTCGGTGGGGTTCTTTCAAATTTATTTTTTTAACGAATCTAACGCTTCATTCATTCTTTTTTTTTAGACAAGTGTCAGAGCGGGATTTTAAGTTGAAACTCAGAACTCGACAATTATCTGGACGAGGGATTTTAGTGAGAGATCGATCAAGCTTTTTTTAGTATATTTCTTTTATTTTTCTTTTTTTAAGATGGCTTCTTCAAATATCTATGGATGTGGATTTTGGTAAAGTGGGTAAAGTGAAAATATTTATCTTTTTTCTTAGGGGCTGGATCATTGGACGCGTAGAATATTGACAAAGGTTCAATTTTTTAGACTAGACATACTCTCTAACTACTAGAATTATTTTAGAAGAAACTTTACAGAAAAGAGCGGTTAGAAATACTCTGGAAAGAAAATATGAGGCCATGCGTAAAATTTCGGAAGGAAAAAAATTTTTTCCTTTATTGAAACATTTTATTAACCTTTGACACGTAGATTTTTGATAAGAATCTTTGGAATTTTTTTTTTTAAAATTTTTTGTTTTATCAAAACATTTTATTAATATTTCAATTTTTTCCTCTTTTTCTTTTTTTAATGAAGCATTTGTTTCTCTTCTTTTCATACGCGTTCCTGGATAGCTCCTGAAAGGAACTTTGAAAGTATCCTTCGAAATTCTTCAATTTTTTTTTTTTAATGAAACGTTGATTAACGTTTCGTTCTCTTCTTTTTATTAGGTTTGGACACTTCCTGTAAAAATTCGAAGGTAAATCTTTGAAATTCTTTTATATTTTATATTTTGTTTTTATTTATTAAACGAAACGTCGACTAACATTTCGTTTTATTCTTTTGTAGATCTATGGATTCCTGGATGGCTTCTGGACGGAACTTCGAAGGTATTTTTTGAAGTTTTATTGTATTTTTTTCTTTTGACGAAACATTTGCTAACATTTCGATATTCTTCTTTCTATAGGTCTGCGGCTGGATGCTTCTTGGAAAATTTCGAAAGTAGTTATCTTTGAAATTTTTTTCTATATTTTTTTAGAGAAATGTTGATTAATGTTTTGATTTTCTTCTTTTCGTAGATTCACGGGTACGAAATTTTTCTTTTTTTTTCACTTTTTTTCAACGAACGTTTTACTAATGTTCATTTTCTTTCATTTTTTAGGTCCCGGTTCCTACTTAAAAGAATTTCAAAGGTAATAATACTTCGAAATTTTCTTTTTTTACTTTATTTTAACGATCATTTTACTAACGTTCGTTTATTTTTTCCATTTGGATTTTGGTTCTCATTTAGAAGGATTTTGAAAGCATCTATTTTGTCAGTTGTTTGTTGGAATCGAACCAACTGGAGCAATGTCCAAACCATTAACAACATCATATAATTTTGCAGTAAATAGAAGTTTTAGAAGTTTTGAATAATAGTGTATTTAATAAATAGTGTAGTTAATTGATTTTCGTACCATTTATTTGTAAATGTTGTAAATGCTTTTAATAAATAAAATAGTTGATGTTAGTTATCATTAAAATAATGTAAAGTTTATATTAGCCATTGCAGATTTAATATTTTAATATATAAAATTTTCGCAGAAATTTTACACTTTGAAAATGTTTTTTTCTGAATTACTGCGCCAGGTCAAAGATCTGCGCAGAAAATGGAACCTGCAGAACATCGCTAGCTTAAAAATTATTTATCGCTTAATTTGGTAATTTTGTGCGACATTAATGCAAAAATTCCAATTGATATGAATTATATTATTGTCTGAAGAGCCAAAGTTCAATAGGTTCATGGTTCAATTGTTGTTTTTTCGATCATGATCTGCAGATCAGCTGAATTTTCATTTGGTATATTATCTGAAATTCATTGTTTCAGTTATTAATTAATAATCAAAAATATTTGAATATTGAGATTTAATCGTGATCTACAAAAAGGTGTTTTTAAAATTATTTGTTGTTTTTTTTTGGTAAATTCCAATTGATTTGAATTGTATTATGGGAATTTTTTATTATTTGCATGTGTCTGAAGGTTTCAAGATCCATTGTTCAATTGTTAACAATTAAATAATCGGATTCAGAATAATTTTTTAAAAATTTTTTGTCATATATTTTTGGTAATTTGACATGCAAAAATTCCATTTGATTTGAATTGTATTATGGGAATTTTTTATTATTTATTATTTGCATGTGTCTGGAGGTTTTCAAGGTTCATTGTTCAATTATTTAACAATAAAATTAATTTGAAAACAACCACACCAAATCTTTGTGGATTGTTTAATTATAGAATAATAATTATAGAATAATTTCTCACTGAATTTTGAACGATTTTCAAAAATAATTTTTATAATTATAAATTGTTTATTTATCTAATAATTTATTTAGTAAATAAATAAAATTCAATAAGTAAAAAATCTTTAGCAAAAACATATAAAAGAGGTTTGTTTCCTCCTTTACTGCTTCTTTATTCAATTTATTTTATTGAATTTAAAAATTTCCAAACTTCGAAAACTTCTGAAAAAGTCAAAAATAAAATAATTCATATATTATTTCTTAATTGTTCATTTATTTAATTTTTTTTTAAAAAAAAAACTAACAAATATGATTGCAAATATTATGACTATATTGCATGTAATAACTGTATTCGATGAAAGTATCAGTAATGGTACCTTACAGAAAGGCACAGCTATTTCCCGGATTGATGAAGAAGATGGGTTTCAAATATTTAAATATTCTAATTATTTAACTTCAACAAGCGATACTGATTCTGATCCAAGCAATGGTATGGAAATAATACCATTTCAGGAGGAGAAAATATATTTAATAACAGGAAAATTTTTTGTCTCCCAAGATGGTTCAATTAACGTGACGATTATATCAAATGTGCATGTTCCTCTAGGCAAAGATGATATACCTGTAATGAAACCTACAGTTCACCTTCTTGGAAAAACAATGAATTATGCTCAGTTAACAGAAGCTGGATATAACTTAGAAATTCAAGTAAAACCATATCTTTCAAAAGATCAGTTTAATTCATTTTCAGTAAATCTAACTCATCCAGTAAATGGGCGATTTAAAAATGCCCTAATGAAAGCTAAGAAAAATTCTACAATTCATGTAACAGGAATTTTTTTCTTTGCAGATAAGAAACTGTTTTGTGAAATATTAGAATTTCAATTTATTGCAGCTAAATTCGAAACAGATAATACTATATCTGTTCCATGGAAAAGTAAAATAGATTCATCACCGGCATCTTCATCAAAAACTAAATCTTCTATAGAGAAGAGAATTGATCTCATACGAGAAAATTTAGAAAAAACACCACCAACACCACCATTAACTAATACTTTAAAACAAAATCGTAATAGACGTGAAGCTTTTACAACAAAAATATCAGATATATCAAGGTCTTTGCTGTCTAAGGATCAGCAAATTGAACGTGACACCGATCAAGAAGCAAATGATATTGTAGAAATTGATGATGATGATAATGAAAGTGTCGTTGAAGAAAATAATAAAAAATATGACACATCAATGGATATTCCAAGTAAAACAAGAAAATCAAAAAGACTATCATCAGATAGCGCTTCAAAACAAAATCGTAAAAGACGTGAAGCTACTACAAGATCTTTTCTATCTCAGAATCAGCAAATTGAATGTGACACCGATCAAGAAGCAAATGATAGTATTGAAGAAATTGAAAAAGATGACCCGCCAGTAGATATTCCAAATAAAACAAGAAAATCAAAAAGAAGAAAAGTATAAAATTAATTTTAATTAGTGAATGTGATATATTATATTTATCTTCAATAAGAGCGAACAGGTAAAAGTGATTTACAATTAGATAGTATTTCAATAGGTCATATATGTAAAATATTACAACAAAGTTTATATAATTGTTCTGTTAATCCTGATCCTTGGGAGTCAATTATTTCGAGAATTAGTTTCGATGTTTCTGATACTGTTCCTAAAGCTATTGAAATTTTATTTTTATTTTTATTTTTATTTTCTTTTTATCTTATTTGCTGCCAAAATTAATTATGATATTATTAGGAGAAATAAATTTGTATTAATTTTTAAATTTATCCAATAAAAAATTTTAATTTTAATAATATTATATATTGTTTGTTACGAACTATTTAGGAAATTTATATCATAATAAATTATGCAAGGTATAATATTCACGATTTATTTACGTTTAAAGTCAAATTATGCAGGTACAATTATTTTATTGCATATTATACTTTAAAGATTGCATAAAATTTTTAAAAGCTGCCTTAAACCTGATTCAGTTTTTAAAAAAGAAATTTTTATTTATAATATTGTTAAATAATTAATTAAGTAATATTAACAATTTTCACGTGTAAATGTGTTAATTTAAATGAATACGAATTTTGTATTAAAAAATTTGATCGCTGATCACTCCTCAAGTGTATTACGAATTAAGTATCGTATTCATTAAAAGAATTGAAAATTCTTTAATTATAAAGGCTGAAAATAAATTACTAAATGTAAATAAGTCAAGAAATCTTATTAAAAAAAAAAAAAGTAGATTAACTTAATAAGTTAATTGTCTATTACTTATTAGTATTAGTAAAAATTTCAGTTTCCGGGTACAAAAAATAATCAATTTTCTAAAATCATTAGATCAGCCGCAGTTCTATTATGAAAAAATTAGCCGTAGCTTTTAAGCTAACCAAATAAGGACAGGTAGAAGTACGGGATACGTTACCTAATCGACATAAATTTTTAAAAATTTTATGATAAATGACGCACTCTTGTACGACAAAATTAAATAGATCACCAGACAGGTCTGTACGACATATTAAGAAAAAAATATATATACATTGCTAATAACCAGTACCTCTGTTTTTTCCCAAACAATTGTAAGAATAATGTAAAGAAGGTCCACATGCAACACGGAACCTACCCTATAAGTATAGAATGATGTCAAAAGCGTATGTTATGAAGGGCTGAGAACTTTGCAATTTCAAGATCGCTAGGCGTTAGTCCAACTTTGCGTCTTACGAGGTAGATCCTCATGTGAAAAAGTATGAGAGATCCATATTCATATGCTTTCGAAGGTTTCTAGCATCAAACGATAGATATTAATTCCATTTATATCTCATTTCCTCCATTTTCAGCAAGATATAAAGTATGAAAAATATGTGAAGGTTCAGCCAACATTCCCGCAAACTTTTAAGGTATGTACTATATGTGCCAAGAATTGTGGCTTACATGCAAATTAAATATTTTCTCACTATAGTCCCGTATTTAGGAAAGCAAGATGTCTTCCCGCTGAAGCTAGCAAGATGATGAAAGAATGGAAACCGGTAAATTTTTTGCAGGGAGATTATGAATTAAAAAGTTTAAAACTTGACAATACTTTTTATAAAACTTCATGATTATATTAAGGCGCTAAGCGAGTAATGATTACATTATGGCTTTATTTTATTGAACATTGTTCTTATAATCTTATTTTATAAAAATCAAGGTATCAGAGAAGCATAATTAGCAAATTCCATCGTAAAAGGGATGGGTTAAACTTTTATTCGCATCATGTAACGAAATATATTTGTAAATATTATTCTTCTTGTATAAATTGCTTCGGCAATGATTTATGAACCGTATCTATTATGGCATGTTTGATCTTAATTCACATACAATGTTGAGAAAATAAACGGTGGTTTATAATATTTTAATTAAATAAAAAAAAATGTATTTGATAAAATAACATGTTATTTACCATATATATTATTTGTAATATGTTAAAAAAAAAAAATGATCAATTTTTTATACACGTATGTTAAACATATGCATTCAAATTTTCCATGTGCGACATAAATACACGTTTTCAGGTCGAATATGATGTAATTGTACGCTAATCATCTGTGATACTACCTACCGTAAACTTCGTGTAATTATACAAATTATTCCTTTCGCTCCAGCTTAAACAAACAGTAATGTATTTAGTATTTATTGATAAGTACATTTACTCCGAAACTACAACTATTTTTTGTTACATTTTCAATCAAAGCGCATTGTATAGCATTCGCTGGCCTTAGTATAAGGGTCAAGCGAGCGAAAAAAGCTTGTATGCATAAACGCCATCAACTTTGTAAATATTGAGATCGTCAATCTGCATTTCTCTTTCTCAAGCACAGAGTCTATTGCATACTTTCTGCTTCATTTCTAACAGGAATTCAGGCTCAAAGAAGATGTGAATGGAAATTGTGAAGCATTTAAAAAGGGTACAGTGAAATTTATAATATTTGTTGCTTTATAGTTATTTGTAAACCACACTAATAATCTACTTCTTCTAAAATGTCTAATAGCACTAACTTCTTTTTTCGAAATCGCGATGAGAAACCAAGTAAATTCTTTTTTATATCATGGTTACCAAAAATATACTTTTCAACCTTAGAGCTATTAAAAAAAGCCTCTCTAGAAGGGGCTATAAAACAGTACAATTACGAGCTCAACGATGCGATAACAATGTGTCAACTACAAAATTTAAATAAGAAGATTATAAAGAAATTGGAAGATGTATCTCTACAGTTTTCGAATATACCTCAGGCAAGTAATTTAAATGATAATTGTGTCACATTTACTAAAAAGTGATGTTGCAGTTCACCAAATATTATGGGGTGTGGTTAAATATAACATAGATCTATGTTAATGCCTTGTTCCCGGACGTATACAACAAATATAAGTGTACGCCTTAGCTCTGCAGAAGTCGACTCTGTATTCACCGAAGGGTTCAGGTGCATAAGTGGCATCATCCGGGCATTTTGCTAGGTTTGATATGGGCAATGCCTTCGTGTATCTCATCGTCAACCATCGGCGTGCTAACTTTCTAAAATATTGAACCATGAAATACTTCAAAAGCAATCCTGATTTCCAAAAAAAAACCATTCATGATATATTCATCAAAAATATAGTGTTCTAACTACCTATTATACATTACAGACGCAGAAACAATTCATATTCAGCGATGCATACAACGTAGAAAAAAAACGGGTAAATATCATATGATTTCAACCTGGAAGCTTTATAACTATACTAATACTCTACTTCGTTGTCAATTCATATATTCCATTAACGCAATGTTGATAGCGTGAAGGTTATGAAAAGCAGCAAAACCAAGAAATTATTCGAACCAATGTTACCAAAATAATTAATAATTGTGTAAGAAACAAATCCATTTTATCATCTCAGAAATTGAAAAGCAAAGTATGAAATCTAATACTAAACTCTTAAAAGATCAATGTAGCGAATAATGTTTCTGTTGAAGTCGGAGAGGTGTTAAACGAAATCTGTAAATGCTTACAACAACTTGATTTAACTTTAATAAATTCTAACGACCTGATAGCGTCTGGAATTTTGGATATTTGTGAAGGAGCAGATAATGTGATGGATACATTACCAACAAAAACAAAACAAGTCCTCACAAATTTCAAATTAAGCGAACAAGAATTTCCAAAGGACGTGAAAACCATGTTAGATGAATTTATTAATATCTATGATCCACAAAATTCCAATTCTGACCCTGCTCTCGCTGGACCTATAACGTTTCCACAAAATGAATCTAATTTAAGTATACGCAGAACGTTATTAACAACATTCGACCTGTTAGAAGGATTGTAAGTTGAAATAAACCTATTTGTATCTTTTTTTTTAATTAAATTAACTAAATTAAACTAAATTAGGAGAAATTGTTGGAATTTAACGCCATCTTTAACTGAAGGCGAATATAGTGAAACGTCTTATACAATACATTCAGTCTCTAGGATAATTGATCCGATATTTAATTATTACAATTTGAAACTTAAACGCTCGTGGTATGTAATTTAAATAATTTAGTTTATTGTCTTTATTGTCTCCTTTAACCCTTCTTAAACTAATATATCTTATTTTAGGGAACAGGTATCTAATTCATCTCGGGATCGGAAAGAATCAATGGGTTCTATTCATTATGGAGATAGACCAGACTTTCAGATTCTGTTGATTCTCGATTCAATTGAGTGGGAGTCAGTATTTGCTGAAATTTCACGATTAGATCCTCGTCCAGATAAACAGGATCATGATTGGAAAAAATTAAATCGTTTATGTAAAGACGGATTCGATGCAAGATTTAATGAATTATTCAAGGGGAAAGATGTTGAAAATAATGAAACAAAATGTCTTATTAACGAACTTCATCAATTCCCTTTCATAGGAATTCAAGTAATAGATAATCGTATCTTAGTATTTGGGATCGATTACTATAATAATTCTTTTTATCGATCCTTTAAAATCTGTGAATTTTACATTCCTTTAACAATTTCCAATTATCAAGTCGTAGAAAATTTTTTGAAAAGTTCGTTGAAAGTGAAATATTATTTAGAGGGATTATTTAATGATTTTGTACGAATTAAAGATAAAATTGATCGTTTACCCACTATAGTTGAAGTAGTTGAAGATGAAAAATCACAATCTTTTATGTCATTATCCACAACATATTAATTTATTTCTTCATATATTTTTAAATATAAATAATAAATTTATTTTTTTTAACCAATAAAAAAGTATATTATTAGTACATGATTTTTTTTCACATTTTTTTTTACCGATCATCATGATTAAACATTTAAAATAAAGTATTCGACACAGCAAAACAGTTTATTATAATTAATTTATTTTTTCCTCTTGACAAAATCTAAACTGTATTATACCATCATTATGTGATATATAAAAATATCGATTTTATTCGAAACAGAACGATCCTAATTAATAGCAAATTTATAGGATAAATACAAGTTTGACAAAAAGTTTAATAGACTGATTATAATTTGTAACGTCCTATATTAAATAACATATTTAATAATTTTCATTTCGTGATAATTTTTTTTTTTCGAATTTTTTTCTTCAAATATGTAGTTTGATTTTTTTTCACATATTTTAATTCGCATATTGTCATTTTGTCATACTATAGTTTTATTTTCTTTCGAATTGATAAATGATCAACACGAGTACCACAATAAAGATAAACAATAACTAATGTGCAATTGTTTTCCAATTTAATATAATGTGACTATGTCGAGTTAACTTATTTTTAGAATAATACTACTAATATGGGTAACTCAAAAAATAATGGTGTAGTTAGCCGAAAAACGGAGCTGAATTCCTGATTACCGATCATCTGGACCCAGTTTAATTACACTGGAATTCCACAACGATCTACGCCTGAGCTGGGTTCGGATCACGGCTAATTATTTTTTGGTTAACATGTTGAATACTAATAAATTATTTTTAAGTTCTCGGTAACCAACGTTTACTAATACTAATAAGTAATAAATAATCAACATTAAAGTTAATATTATACCTTTTTGTTTAATAAGATTTTTTTTTTAACAATAATAAATAAATAAATCGGAATATAACGTAATATAGTTGAACGGAAATATTGAGTTGGAAGTATTTTACTAATACTAATAAGTAATAAAATAATCAACATTAACACCTTTTTGTTTAATAAGACTTTTTTTTAACAATAATAAATAAATAAATCGGAATAGAACGTAATATAGTTGAACGGAAATATTGAATCGGAATAGAATGGAATATTGAGTCAGAAGTATTGTCAGAATAGACCGGAATATTGAGTCGGAATAGACCGGAATATTGTATCAAAATAGAACGGAGTATTGTATCGGAATAAAACAGAATATTGAAAATATTAAAATTCTAATCAACGTCAAATAATATAAATCAAACGGTATATTGTGCCAACATATCGAAAAATTTTTCATAGAAAAATATATAAATAATATCAATTGCATTCTTCCCTACCAAAACAAAAATTTTTTATTAATTTTATTAAATTAAAATGTCTCAACACAGATTTAAAAGTAAAACTTATAGATTTCAATCTTATAATTCATCTGATCTTTATTCTTCACTTAATACACATATTGCTACCAGTTCTCAATCAAATTTAACAAATAACATTAATTCTGATTCACAACCCTCAGAAATTATTCAAAATCCATTAAACTTAGATGTTGCTCCATTACCTATTTGGCAACCTTCTACACGTCTAAGTAAACTTCACACTCAATTTCAAACTACAATTCTTTCTCAATACACGTGCTTACCTTGTGCATTTTGTGGAAAATTATTATATCCTACCAAGGCTAAATGGTTTCCATATGATGAAAACTACACCTATCCTCTTGAAATAAACTTTCAAAACATTGATATCTATATAAAAGATGATGGTTCAATACGCACTGTATGTGTATGTGAAAGTTGTAAAAACAATCAAAAATGATATCCATGCCCAAAGCTCCATCCTATACCAGATGTAATTAAAGCCATACCAATTACACAAAGAAAGTTTTTATCTCCAGTATTTCTACATTGTTCACTAGGTAGAAATTTAGATGCGAATAGGTATACTGAATATCGCACGCTAGTAGGAGATATGGAATTCTCAAAAAATATGCGCGTATTAAAATTATATTCTGATATATTAGGGGCATTTTTATCTAATCCTGAAAGTCAAAATAACAATGAAAACTTATCATGGCTTACTCCAGAATTATGTACTGCTGCACATTGGCTTAAGCAACATAACAAATATTTAAAGCCATTTTCCAGATTACTTTCTACATCATCACTTCTTACAGAAACTTATCAAGATCCATTCCCTACAGCAACACATTTATCTTCAGATACAAATGCTCCACCTTTTCAAGAAGGTGATATTGTTTTATCATCTGCTGATTTTCCAACTGAAGTTCACAATGAAGATTTTCATTACACTTATCTAATGGCTGGTTTCGTGCAAACTCAAACTACAACACTTCCACTTTCTTTTAATAATCCAGATCTTGAACCACTCATATTTCCAGATCTATTTCCTGATGGAAATGGACATTTTTTTGATCAAACTATTAATAGTTCCGAAGATAATTCAATAAAAGTTGAAACATATGGCAAATATATAAAATATCGATTATTATGTGTTGATTCACGCTTTCGTTTACATCCCTATTGGCCACATTATTCATACTTAAGATTAGAAAAATTACGAAATCACCAAAATACAACACTTCTTTGGCGTCAAAAACAATCAGATAAAATATTTCGTCCACCAACAGCTTCAGAACTTATTACACATAGTGTATATTCAGGAAACCGTATAGTTGATGAAACAAAAACCATTACATTACCATCATTTATACGAACAGGAGAAACATATTTTAATGAAAAATTATTACATATAAATGCTATGATGAGAGAATACAATTTACCATCCCTTTTTATTACTTTAACTGCAGCAGAAACTAAATGGACTCACTTAAAGGACATATTAAAATCAACAGATAATAGAGATACAAATCCAACTAATAGGCCATTACATACAACTCATCATTTTACTCATCGAAAGAAAGAACTTTGGAATCATGTTTGGAAAAAACCAGAAAATAGTAACTGGGGATACCTTAATCATTTTTTTGAACGTGTTGAATTTCAAAATAGAGGAGCTTCACATACACATACAATACTTTGGGTTGAAAAAAGTATAATTGAAATGATAGAAGAAAATCTTATCAGAGCTGATTTACCAGATCAAAACCTTGAACCAGAACTTTACCAATTAGTAATAACTCATCAAATCCATACATGCCGTCCTGGAAAATGTGGTGGCCCTGCACCTCATGGTCAAGTATGCAAAAAAAATTTCCCCAACCATATTCATCAACTACTTACTATAACACTAATGAACAAAGATATATATATCGATGTATAACTGAAAAAGATAGATGGGTAGTTCCATACCATCCAGCTACACTTCTAATATGGAATGCCCACATGAATATTCAATATGTAAGTAGTAAAAATTTAGGAAAATATTTGACTAAATATGTAGTAAAATCAGAACCTACATATGTATTTAACATATCAGAAGGGGATAAATATCGTGAGCATATTGTTGCTAGACGTCTTAGTTCAATAGAATGTATGTTTTTATTACTTGGTGAAACAATATGCAACTCATCAGTACAAGTAAAATATTTACCTACTGACCCACCAACTACTCGCTCACGTGCTATAAGACCAATATCAACAATATCAGATGATGATGAAGACCCATATTGGAAAGATGCAATTGAAAAATATTTTGCACGTCCACATGATGAGCAATTTGACAATATAACTTATCCTAATTACTTTAAAAATTACACTTTATCAACTAAAAGACCATCAAGTAACAAAATATACTACAAAGATGATTTTAATTATTATGTTACTAAAAGAACATTTCCATTAGTTGTACGCTATAGACATCTTAAAATTCAGAATGGAGAGTCATTTTTTTATCAACAATTATTACTTACAACCACTTGCAGATCTGAAAGTGAACTACTTGGTAATTATACATCATATCGAAAAAAATATTTGAGTTTACATCCAAATTTCCAAAATTCTATTCAAAATATTACAGATACTACAGAAAATGAAAATAGGTACTCATTACAAAATCAATTCAATACAATTATAACTCACATAATAGAAGATCTTGCAAATAATATTACCCCACAAATAGCTGATATTCTTGCCAAACAATTGGATGCTTTAAAACTAACTTCACCAATATTTCCACAAAATGCAATGCTTTACTTACCAGAAGAACAATACATTTTATATAATACAATAGTATCTAACCTTGGATCACTACAATCTAAAAAGTATCCATTCTTCTTTATCACAGGCTCTGGTGGTACTGGAAAAACATATATAACAAAATTAATTATTGATTGGCTAAATTCTCAAAATAAAACTTATCTTCTAATAGTACCAACAGGTGTTGCTGCACAAAATGTTGGTGGACAAACTATCCATTCTGCTCTTAGATTAACACAATCAGGATCAGGATACCAATCATTGGCTTTCTATGATTTAGAATTTAAAAAAAAATTACAATCAATTCAAATATTAATTATAGAAGAAATATCAATGGTATCTGCAGTACTATTTGACTTTATCTCAAATTTATTTTCCAGAATTCACAATTCTGACATTGCATTTGGAGGTATCTGTGTAATTGTTGTTGGTGACTTAGCACAACTTCCTCCAGTAAGAGGAGAAGCTGTATTTTATTTATCAGTATGGCAACTATTTTATCCTTTATTTTTATATAAATCTCAAAGACAACAAGAAGATAGAGAATTTTACCAAATGTTAGAGGAAATTAGATTTGGTACAATATCAGATGCTACTTGGGCAAAACTTGTGGAAAAAGCAGCAAATTACAATAATAATCAATCTTTAGATTCACTATTAACAACAACAAATATAGTTGGATATTGTGAAACATCAAAACAAATTAATAATACAATATGTAACTTACTTCCAATTAATGGTGACAAATTTCTAATAGCAGAATCTATAGATTTTTTAGAAGGAAAACGTGTGCCTTCTGAACATGTTCAATCACAATTTAAATTAAAGACTAATATGCCACCTACAGTCAGACTTCAACAAGGTGCACGAATTATGTATTTGAACAACTCATTAATAAATCATGGAATATGTAATGGAACAATTGGTGTAATTACAGACATCAATAAACAACAACCAAGTGTTCAGGTAGCTTTTTGTATTCAAGGTGCTATAATTCAAAAATGGATCACTAGAGAAACAGCATATTTTTATTCAACTGGCCAACATGCTTCAAGGACACAGTTTCCATTACAAAATTCTTTTTCTCTAACAGTGCACAAAACACAAAGTCTAACCTTACCTCTCATTTCACTAGATCTTAGCCAATTGTTTGCACCTGGTCAAGCATATACTGCACTCAGTAGATGCCCTAAATGGGATAATATTCAAATAATGAACTTAAGTAAAGATTCATTTATAGTAGATCCAAATGTAGTTAAAGAATACTCCCGTTTAAAACAAATAGCATCACAACCATTACCAATTTCATAAACATCAAACATATGCAATATATTTCATTTTTCATATAAATACATTAGATCAAATTGTATTAAATAATTTACATAATTAATAAAAGTATTTGCAAATTATATAAATATCCTATATATAATATAAATTATAAATATAAGTTTAATTATTAAAATTTATATATTATATTCCTAATAATTAGGCCGGCCATAATATAAAATTCTAGTTTATATATAAAAATAAAGTGAATCACATTTCTACATAAATTTTTAATATATTTATATTAAAATTTTTTTGTGAATCATCAAATTCAAGACATTATGTATATCAAGGCAAAATTTCAATATATATTTCATTTAAAATTTGGACTTTTCTATGTCACTATTTTTATATGTAAATAATTGCAATAAATAATATTAACATAGTAAAAGTCCAAAATTTTTATATGAAATATATGCTGAAATTTTGCACTGATACTCATTTTGTCTCGAATTTAATGATTCACAAAAAAAATTTGACATGAAAATATCAAAAATTTATGTAGAAATGTGATTCACTTTATTTTTATATATAAATGACTGTAATAAATGATATCTGCATAATAAAAGTCCAAAATTTTTATATTAAATATATACTGAAATTTTGCATTGATATACATTTTGACTTGAATTTGATGATTCACAAAAAAAATTTGACACAAAAATATTAAAAATTCAGTGATTCACTTTATTTTTATATATAAATGACTATAATAAATGATATCTGCATAGTAAAAGTTCAAAATTTTTATATTAAATATATGCTAAAATTTTGCATTGATACACATTTTATCTTGAATTTGATGATTCACAAAAAAAATTTGATATGAAAATATTAAAAATTCGCGTAAAAATGTGATTCACTTTTGTTATACAAAAAATCATATATTAAACCTCGCAAATCAGAATTTGTCAGTAATTTTGAAAATGGCAATAACCTGACCTGACCACTATTGCAAAAAGATAAAATAAGAATTCTTTGATTTTTTGTTTTAATTGCTTAAAAAAGCCACTAAAAGTCATTAACAATATTATTTTAATACTTACAGTCAATGACCAGTCGTGATTTTTTAGAAGAACTAAAATGTCTCTTCTTGCGTGTCAGAAATCCTTCAAAACATGCTCTTGAGGAGTTGATATGACAAATAATCAAGTAGAATCTTAACCCAGTTGAAAGTTTAAAATGGTTAAAGATCGGGTTTAGACAATTTGGAGATTTCAGAAACAAGTTTCTCGACAAGATAGAAAGATTGGTCAATTCATTTGAAGAAAAAAGAAACAAGTAATTATTTCTTTTTTTTTCATTTCAGCTTTC